ATTCTCACGGAGCCTCTCTCGCTGCCGATGTTCAGATGTCCATCCGGATGCACAGCTCACCTTGACACTCGGCGCCACTTTTCCACGGTTTGAGGCGTGAGACGGACAGGCCTGAGTGTTGTCTTCCACAGCCAGGACGTTCCTTAAACTGTGCCCTCCCCCGCCCCACCTTCCCCTCCCTCAGGCCGAGCTGTCCTTACGCTGCCCTGGCCTCGTGTTCTAGAAACTCCCTCCTCCGTCTCTCACAAAAGCCACAGAGAAACATGTGCCCTTGGAGGGAAAGAATGTTTGTGAACCTGAAGGAGACATGTTTCTTCCAGAGCGTAAAGCTTGGGAATTCCTGACGTCAACAGGAAATACTGTTGGTAGTTCATTACCGGAGACAGCCATTCCTAGACGCGGGGCCCGAGTCCTTGGCCATGGTCACCTCATTGGTCTTCATCGGGGAGAAAGGGTGTTTTCTGAAGCCAAATCTGTCAGACCCTTCTTGATAAAACGCGTTGTGACTCGGACATTGTGGGCAGGAGAACGGTGACAGCGAGGTGCGCACCCCGGGCCGGACATCATCAAGCTGCTGGAGCCGCACGAGGCAGGAGGAGCTCCTTTCTGAGCCGATGGCCAGCTCTTGGGAGACGGTCATGGAAACGTAGGCCGCAGCGTCTCGGAGAGTCAGGATAGGGGCCGTAAACTGCTGTAAATCCATGGGCGTTACTCTTCACGCACGAGAGTTTACCCAGAGTCTATCGGCTCTTCCTTAATTGAGACGTAATTATAACGGGCGCAGGACGTGGCTTCTGGCGCTGAGCTTCTGGGGCAGGGAGCACACGGTGTCAATAGAAGGACAAGCAATAGTCAAAGAAGAGCTGGAACCCTTGCCGAGACCTTGCTCGCCAGCCCGAAGCTGCCTTCGTGACTGCAGAACCGCACAGGGCCAGGCACCGCGGGAGCGCCTGGGCCTGTGTGACACCAGCAGGCACCGAGTCCCTTCCACGTCCGAAGATTCTCTTTAATTTTCTGTTTACAATCACCTCCTCCCGAACTACTCTACTCTCTAACTGGCCTCCCTGCCTCCGGACTGAAATCATTCAAGGCCGTTTTCCTCACAGACAAGTCGGACTGTGTCCACCCCAAAGGGAAGACAAAGGGAGGTGTTTGCTGAGGGTGGGGGCCCGCTGCTGGGAAACACACATCCATCCCCGTTATCGCACATGACACCCGGTGGGAGCAGCCAGCAGCGATCCCTGTTCCGCCTCTCACTTGGTCATTTCGTGATTATCTGCATCAGTGGGAACAGTGGTTGGTGTAACCGAACACAGGGGATGCGATCCTCTTAACTACTTTTTCCATCTGGGCTTTGGGATACTTGCTTCATTCTCCAGTGGGTGTCTCTCTCCCCAAATATTTCCTCGGATTAGAATTGACTCGCATGTCCTGGCACTGACGCATCAGGAGCAGTAAGCGGAGGCCCCGGGCACCTTGTGGCAGAGGGACTGTATGAGCGCGGACGCGATCCGGGAACACTGACCGCGTGTGGGTAACTCAGAAAGGGCTGTCTGCATTGGCCAGAAGCGTTTCTTACGTCGTACCGACGGCTGATCCAGAGTGCTCCGTGTGTCTAAAGTGGTTGCCCTCCACCCAGGTGGTGCATTCTGTGTTGTGAGCACGAGCTAGATCTCTCTGCCCTCTCCGTACAGACAACAAGATGTTCTGCGGGTTCACAAAAGCCCCGTGGTGTCTGCGTGTGGCCGGTGACTTGCCTGGGTGACTGACCGGGGCTGTACAGGCTTCGGTGTGAGCAGAGGCTGTCGTGTGGGAGTGGATAGCTGCCTGACAAGTCTTATTCGCTCTACGTGTGGAGGAATTGCATCTTGAGACACAAGGAGCATAGATTAAAATACACATTTTCATCGTGATAGATATCTGCCAAGTGCATATATCGTCATGAGTCGTGATGTTTGTAAATGCATTGCTGTGAGCCATATCTGCAACTTGAGATAGCCGTCGGGGGATCAGCTTTTCGGTGTGAGCACTTACTACACTTAAAAGGAAATTTGAGGGTGCGGTTCCTATAGCAACCACAGCTTAGACACATTGCAAATTCACATATATTAATGTATTTAAATCAAACTCCCATATACAAATACAGTATGAAGGATTTAGAGTTGCTATGGAAATTGTGTCTAAATTTTCTCTTTTCCTTGGGGATGTCAATGTTCCAGACTTAAAATCAGATTAACAGAAATACTAGAAAAATGGTTTCAAAAAAGAAGCAACTTAATAATAATAGAATGAAGTATTTGAACAGAATTAAATTTGTAAATGTAGACTTAAACAAATCCCACTTTTTCAAAAACTATCAAATACTTGAATACTTTCATTCTTAATTATCTTTAACTAGAGGCCCAGTGCATGAAATTCATACATTCGGGGCAGGGGGACATCCCTCAGCCTGGCCTGCAGCCTCTCGCAGTCTGGGAGCCCTCGAGGGATGTCCGACTTCCACGGAGGCGGGAGAGGCTCCCACCACCACTGCTGCTGCAATTCGCTACGTGTGGAGGAATTGCATCTTGAATCGCTTTGGTCTACTCGCCAGGAGCATGTATTAAAATACACATTTTCATCGTGATAGATATCTGCCAAGTGCTTATATCGTCATGAGTCGTGACGTTTGCAAATGCATTGCTGTGAGCCATATCTGCAACTTGAGATAGCCGTCGGGGGATCAGCTTTTCGGTGTGAGCACTTACTACACTTAAAAGGAAATTTGAGGGTGCGGTTCCTATAGCAACCACAGCTTAGACACATTGCAAATTCACATATATTAATGTATTTAAATCAAACTCCCATATACAAATACAGTATGAAGGATTTAGAGTTGCTATGGAAATTGTGTCTAAATTTTCTCTTTTCCTTGGGGATGTCAATGTTCCAGACTTAAAATCAGATTAACAGAAATACTAGAAAAATGGTTTCAAAAAAGAAGCAACTTAATAATAATAGAATGAAGTATTTGAAAAGC